TTATATTTTTCCCAATATTTTAAACAGTAAATGGTAAAGTTAAATCATTGTGTGCTAAAATTTGGAGAAGAATGCCACATTTATGTTTGCTCCCTGTAGAGGATGCTTTAACTTATTTTTATTGAGAAAATGTTTTGCATATGACTGTACTGTGCAGTGTGAATTGGTCATATGTTCAGCAGACTCGTGCTCTTAGCATAACGCCTCTCTTGTCAAATACAAGCATTTCTACGGGCATCTACAACTCAAAGCACTTCATCACAGGTCTAGAGCAACAGGGGAAGCCACGGTACAAAACATGTCATTATCGTAAGTCCTCCAAAGCTTTCATAATGGACTGATCTAACAGAACCATTTTATGTCATTGATTCTCCTCTTTTTCTGGCTCACAGCAAGATTTCTCTGAAGATTTTTTTATCCGTGTTGACTAAGTGGTGCACTATTCTTTGGTATTATTTGGTAGTGGGAAGTGGTAATACACAAAAATAAATATATTGGAATGCATTTGCGCCTCAATTTCGCTCCCTTTGAGTCAGAGATAAATAGCGCAGTCAAATAGGAGATGAATAACTTGCCGTCACCTTTTCTGTTTGGGTATCAGTCACACGCAGCCTTCATACCACTGATGCTTAGATTATGGGTCAAAGCTTCAGACATCACAGAGCGTTACTTTGATACTCGGGAAGCTGGGAGTCTGCAGGAAAAACAAAACTAAAATATCTTTCACTGTTTTTCAGTGTTGTAAATATGAAGATGCTTCTATTAATGGAATATAGTAACCTAAGTGATTCTTAAAGGGCGTATTTGCTACACTTTTCTTGTATCAGATTTTTTGCCCTGAAAACCTTTTATGAAGGTTTCGTGGGTTTATGTACCAAAAAGTTTCATTCGTTTTTATCTTTGTCCCTTAAACTGTTTTTGTTACTATGCCTTTAAAGGGAAATTCCTCTATTTGTTCAAAATCCTTCAAAATTTAATTGTTGAAACATGAATAAAGTCATTCAGAGCAGTTTGATGTGACAGGGTTTATTGCAGAGAAATATACTGACTCATATTTCTTTGTAGTGGTGGTGAAAAGAACCACAAGGTCACAATGTCTACAACATGAATATAACCATTTTATTTGCTATCCTAAACCACCAGTGAATTTTCTTTTGGTATTATTTTGCCTCACAACAACCCTGTATGTATATGTATTAAACAAAAGGCATTTTAGGCCAAAACTTGATCTCAAAACAACCATAAAACAACATCTCAGACATCAGGTAACATCACAATAACCATTTCTGTGTAATAACTAATAACTGCAAAGTAGCTTATAGAGCCATTAAACTCCAGACGTCTGGTTCCCATCACCACCACTGTGAACATTTCTGAGTTGGTAAGCTTCTCTAGAATAGAGCATTTCACATTAAACCACTCAAATGCCTTTGCTAACATCTTAGCAGAAATTTTGCAAATTTGCTGGTGATGAATTCATAACCCACAATGCTGCAGCAGACACATCGCCCCCCCCACTGCAGGCCCAGTCACCCCACTAACACAGTTAAGACCATCGGGATGAATTACTATTGCTAAACCAGTTCATCATGCGCCTAATGACATCATATTGCAATCTGTATGTGCGAATTGCATTTGCCGAGTGGATCGCCTGCTGGTGTTTTGTCCGACAGCGTCATGGCGGATTATCTGCATGCTAGCAGGTAGCGGAGATTTCCTGCTTTTGTACGACGTTAACATTCCGAACATGTCCCTGAGAATTACTTCTGATGTATTTTTGGGAGTGAAGTGTGTGCTAAAGCTGGTGACTCATAAGCTGTACCTGCACGCTGCTTTAATGCACATGCAAATTAAACCAGCAGATTCCTTTTTTTTTTTACCTTTACCAGGTCGTCTGTATCTTATTTGCACAAATCCTGTGAAGGCATGTGCTACAAAGGCATCTACTGACAAACAACTAATGATCAAGCTGACCTACTTAGAAAGAGTCCTTTGCTGTATACAAACCACAATTGAGACAGTGTGTGAAATGCAAGTAAAAACAGAAAGCAGTGATTTGTAAATCCACTTCGACCTGTGTTAAAATGAAAATGAAATTGATGCCTGCAACACATTCCAAAGAAGTTGGGACAGGGGCAGTTTAAGACTAGAAACATTGTGAAATGTTTAAAAAAAGGGTAATGCAATAATGCTTGGGTATAAAAGAATCATCCAGGAAAAACCTAGTCGATGGGTCGAGGCTCTCTACTTTGCCAAAAAAATGCTTCGGCGAACAATTCAACTGTTTAAACACAATGTTTCTCCATGAGTAATTCATGGGAGTTTATGTATTTCACCACATATGGTGCGTAATATAATCAAAAGATTCAACAATCAACAGAAATTGCCAGAAATCTCTGTCGTCAATGTACAGGGTTCGTCGCTGCATCCACAAATGTGTTAGGACTGTACTACATTTAGCAGAAGCCATGTAAACAACTTTGCACAGTCAATTAAAAACAGATATTATGGTCTGACAAGTCAACTTTTTGTATTATTTATGGTAAAAATGAATTGTGTTCACTGTGTCAGTTTAAGTTCAAGAGCCAAATCTATCACTGTGTGGGGGTCTTTTTCAGGGGCATCTGTCCTTACAATGTGACAATGCCAAGCCACACTCTGCACATTTCAATAGCATGGCTGCTAGACTGGCCAGACTTGTCTGATTGAAAATGTGCAGCACATTATGATGCACAAAATGAGACAATGAAGGCCCGTATGGTAACACCTGTAAACTCACATAACTGCTATTCAGACTGCAGTAATTGGTGTCTTATGTTTGCAAACAATTATTAAGTGTTGTTGAAAGGGAAAGTGATGTGACATGGTGGTAAACTTTTTTGGAGCTCAAATCTGGAATGAGCATATAAATAATACAATTGATTAGGTAAAATAGCAAATATAAGTGCTGTTTTTAATGTAATACAGGTCAAACAGAATTCACTGCTTTCTATTTCTATTAGCGTTTCACATATTGTCCCAACTTTTTTGGAATCAAGGTTTGAATTTCAGCTTCGGTAGCTTTAAACAGATGTATAGTTTCCTTTCCTTTATGGGTGATTCTAATGAATTTGCATTATGATGTGTGTGCATATATGCCTTGAAAAATAGGTTGGGAATGAACCTTGAATAAAAAGCCCCAGACATATACAGTACACAAAGTCAGAACATGTCCTTCGATATTCCTTTTACATGTTGTATTTATTTTTACTTTGTTGGCATAACCTTAAGGTTTGAAATATTTGACTAAGTTGTGATGTCCAGAGGACAAACTCTCCACAGGGAGTAGGGTGCTGGTGGGGAAGGCTGAGATTTTTAATGAAAGTCACTTATCCAGTCATTAGTCATTTTCAGACCCATTAGAATAATTTGGTGGGAGTCCAGTAGCACCATGTAATGAGTGTGTAAAAAGCATGATGAAAAGAGATGACTGGCATGGCCATTTTTGTGGTCAAAAAGAATTCTCACCACATAATCCACGTAGGAGTAGAGCCATTATTGAAACAACAAACTTTAATAATGCTAATGCACTCTGGGAAAAGGCAAAGTATTTTACCACCACATCTCTGTATTTAGAAACCTTTTACATCTGTCTGGGTTTTTTGTGCAAAATGAACAATTGCTGAACTAGTTGCTTGAAAATGAAAGATTGTTTTTTTTGGATGTGCTTATATGAGAGAGGTAAAAGCTGTGGTTTTGATGTTTATTAAAATACAGGACATCATTTCTGATCTGAGTCCGTAGGTTTATTATGATATTTCCATAAATATTGGTTGTGTTATGAAATAAAATGAAAAGGCTAATAGACAAATCCTGATGCTTGACAGACCACTGTTAGGCCACAGATAGCATGTGTGTGTAGGCTTAAAGGAATGAAATAATCCCCAAAACATGATGAATAAGGTTACAGCTGTTACATAATGCAGTGGTCACCAATTCTCCTCCTGGACATTTACTTTCCTGCAGTGTTTAGTTCCAATACTCCCAGCTAATACTCAGCATGGAACACTCAGCATCTTCAGAAAAGACCAGATGATTTTTGGGAACATTCATATCTGTAACGTTTAGTTTGTTTTTATTCAATAACACCATCATGCTTGTTGTATGTAATCTCTGTAGGAACTGTAGTAACACTCTCATTCCATAGTTAGGATTTGGTCAGAAAGGATTATTATTTTCAAATGTCCAACAGAAAAATGATCCAGTCAGGATATTTTTCTCTGTGGAAACTAGGAAGATGAAGAATGATTAGGCCTTGAGGAGCTGAACCGAAGGCCTAATACACCCATTTAACTACCACCATGATTAGGAACTGACAGTGGAATCACGTTTTGATTTACAGTAGATGTGACCAATTTCTGTATGTCCTAGATACATCACTGTACGTAAATACATGCCATGTATTTACCAAATATCAGTCAGTTGTTAGAAATGGAAAACAGCAACACTTTATTGACAGAATCACTGAAAACTGCACCTTACAAGGGAACATATATGTAAATATCTGTTTTGAGATTCAAATAAAAACATGAAATATTTTTTACTTCAAATAATGGTGTTTGGTATAGAATGGCCAAAAATGGCGATTAGCTTAGCACTAACATCCTATAAGAAATCCCATTTGAATGCTAGCAGAAATAATAATTGTCTTAGAGGTGATTTTTCTCATTTTAAATGTACAGCCTGAACTGAAAGCCTAGCCTAACAGTCATGGTTCCTCACTGGTAGTACTAATTCATCTGATCCAGGCAATCAGGGACTTCTGAAGATGTTAAGTAGCTGAAGCAGGTATGGTAGGTTATGCTTGGAGCTACATTCTGCAGAAAGGTAGAACTGCAGGACCATAGTTAGTGATTACTGATATTGTGCATATATGTCGAGGCATCTATGAGTAAACTGTTCTTAATCTCAGACAGTATTATAATGCAGAAACTCATGCACTCTTTCTTTCTTTCTAACAGAGATCCAAATCAGCCGGTACCCCAAGACACCAAGTTCATCCACACCAAGCCCAACCGCTTTGAAGAAGTGGCCTGGTCCAAGTACAACCCGAAAGATCAGCTCTACCTTCACATTGGCCTGAAACCCAGGGTTCGTGACCACTACCGCGCTACTAAGGTCGCCTTCTGGCTAGAGCTCGTCCCTCACCTCCACAACATCAACGACCTGTTCCAGTACGTCTCAACAACCACGAAGATTCCACCGCAGGACACCACGCCTTTCCCCTACACCAAGAGACTGGGTAAAACATGGCCGTCAACTACACGCCATCCTGGGGTTCCTCCGCCCAACACCAAGCAAACAACGGATCAGCGCAAGGGCAGCGACCTTGGTGACGACTCGGCTGTTGTGATCGAGAACAAGCGGGACTACTCCACGGAGCTGAGTGTGACCATCGCTGTAGGAGCCTCGCTCCTTTTCCTCAACATCCTCGCCTTTGCTGCACTCTACTACAAGAAGGACAAGCGGCGGCATGAGTCCAACCGCCGGGGACCCAGCCCCCAGCGCAACTCAGCACCAGCCAATGCAGCAGCTAACGCTAACGACATCGCTCGCCTGCAGAATGAGGAGCTGATGTCCCTGCAGATGAAACAGCAGCAGCAGCTGGAGCACGAGCACCATCATGAGTGTGAGTCCCTTCAAGCCCATGACACGCTGCGCCTGGCCTGCCCGCCCGACTACACACTGACCCTGCGGCGGTCGCCCGACGACATCCCACTCATGACGCCAAGCACCATCACCATGATCCCCAATTCTCTGGCCGGGATGCAGCCCTTGCACAATTTCAACACCTTCGGAGGGAATCAGAACAGCACCAGCTTGCCTCATGGTCACTCCACCACCAGAGTATAGCTCCGCGCCTTGGACTTCGTGGGCTGGACCTTTCAGAACTATCTGGGGGAGTCTGGGGATGGTTTACTCCAGCATGGGAATTAGGACATGGATGAAGGATGAAGAAAGAATATACGGTTTCTTTGTTCCACTTGGAGACTGATTCTCAGTGGATAAGATATTATTTTGCTACAACCTCTTCTTGAAGAACAAAGTCCACCATGACCTACTTGTGGGGAATAAAGTGAATGTTTCTAAACTAATGGTGTACTCGGAGCCAAGTGTAGAGAGGAAAGTGCGATGTTTTACCAAAATAATTCCTGGACTTTTTTTTGTGAGGGCAGATTTTTGCTGGCAGATTTGACACATACATGCAAAGGAGAGTAGGCAGCTTTGTATGTGCCATTCTGATTATCCTATATCAAGAGTAACAGATGACATTGGTTTGGTGCCAGAACACTGTATTTTGAACAAATGGATTAGTCTACTTTTCCGACGTTGTTGTCACATATTGAACAAAGGGGACTGAATTCTAAATCTCCCAGCCTGAAATGTATTTATGACAAATTTGTAAAGATGACAATTATGTAAATAGCTGTGAGTTACAAATCCAATACTAAAAGAAATTACAAGAGCTTTTATCGTTGTTTTGGTTCAAAATATGACTATTACTGAGCTTGTGCTTTCTGTTGAAGTGACTGTAAATATACCAGTCAGAATCATTGTTTTCTTTTCCAAAAACATCTATGTTTAATGGTATTCCAAACTATACTCATTCCAGCAGCCATCAACACTCATAACCATAACCTCTCAGTGGTCCTTCATTGTTATGTCTAGCAGATGTTTTCCCCAAGAAACAGCCTCATACAGTGACCTCAAAATGCAGGATCGCTGTTTGCAAATGCCCTATTATGCTAATGTGAGACTGTATTTTTAAGTTTCTCTTCTACTTGGTGAAGAGATTGTTTCGCCTGGACTGTCAAATTGGGTTAAGTACTTCCACTTTTGGAAAGTGCAATGTATTACAAATGTCATTTTGTTGTAGGGGATCACATAATGGGGCAACTCAAAATTGCCAGGAAAACCACTGGACCATGGTGCTGTCACTCAAGCACATTCTTGCCATAAATAATTTTTAACACTTTGGTCACCACAATCTGCCACACCCTACCAAATTCTACAGGAAAGTAGATGCAGGAAAATCTCAGAAAGATCTATTTTGGTTCCAGTCTGCACCATATAAGCTGCCACAACTTAACTAACACTAAGGCATCTGATCCAGCCAGTCAAAAACTCTGAAGAAGTTCATTAGCTGGAGCAGGTGTGGCAGATTGTGGTTGGAACCAGGCTTCACAGGAAGGTAGACCTCCAGGACCAGGGTTGGTGACCACTATCCAGATGGTTTCCAACTGTTGTCGTGGAGCACCCCTGACATTCTAGTGTTTTCCTGGAACAGGACTGGGAACTATGTACAGATAAAGAGATACAGTTATATGTCAGATTTCACTTCAAGCCAGAGTGAATGTACTTTGAGTCCAGGGAATTGGCACCTGAAAGTGTGGCTAGTATTTCATGGGACAACAACCGAAAACCGCATCTCCTTTCTCCAACATGTGTAGGTCACCACCTGCTTCATCCTGTCCTGCTTTTGGCCTTTTATTTTCCTTTTTACTTAAGTTTTTTATTTCGATTTTTCTGTCACATGCACCACTGCCTGAACGGAAGATGTGGCCAGCATTGTACTGTTTAGAAAAAAAAAATATATACATATATGAAAGAAAAAAAAAAGCAATTTAAAAAATAATGCAGGCAGTGGATTTTGGTATCAATATTAGTTGGATATGTTTGTAAAGCAGTATATGTTAGATATTTCTACTTGTCATATGCTAGCAATATGTAAAGTATCGTGCCAGGCTTGTGATATTTTTGGGTTACAACGCAAGTGAATGAGTGTAAATAAATAAAAAAAAGAATAATAATAATATTATAAATGCTATTAAAAAATCATTAACCCTGATATTTTTAGTTCTGCATCCTATAACAAGAAAGCTTGAAAGCGCAAGCAAAGATATATTTAAAAAAAAAATGCAATTCAAATTTATAAAGTTACATTTGTATATTGAATCTAAGGTATTCATCTAGCCCCTTCAACTGTCAATAATTCAAGGGTGAAATGTAGGATTCTAAATAATAGTTTGTCTCATATTGTTTGCGTTTTTTGCCTTAAGTGATAGATGATATTTCTGGCTGGACACCTATATAAATTTTTTCTGCAGCGTTTCTAATAAAATATCACAGTATTTTCTAAAACTGTGTGTGTTTTTGGACTTGTGTGTTTCAATAATTCAATAAAGTGGGTAGTAACTAGTCATTACATGCATTTAAACATGCATACAAGAAGCTGTAGAAGCAGTTGCTAAGGGCGCCCAAGTATTTGTTTATGTATTTAGTTATGTCAAAAAAAAAAATAAGTAAGGACCTTCTTTAAAAAAAATAATCTTATATACAAAAAAAAAAAATAATTGATTGGGCTAGGTGGGGTGAGGGAGATCCCCCCACATAAGATGGTGCCTTGGGCCCCCCAAATGTTCAGAAACAGCCCTGTATAGTACTGTACAAATATCAGAGACCACCATTTAAGTTACCCTTTATTAGTCCCACAATGGGGAATTCACTGAAACACCCACATACACACTAATGAATGCACACACACTAGGGGCAGTGAGCACACTTGCCCAGAGCGGTGGGCAGCCCTATCCACAGCGCCTGGGGAGCAGTTGGGGGTTAGGTGCCTTGCTCAAGGCTTCAGTCAGCTCAAGGGATCAAACTGGCAACCTTCTGGTCACAAGGCTGATTCCCTAACCTTCAGCCCACAACTGCCCTTTACTAAAAGAGCAACCAACTTTTAAAACTGGACTTTTATGGTTTTTCTCTGAAAAACTGAAAGCGAGTCTCCTGAAAAGAATGGAAGCTAAAAGTGTCAAAGAGTGGGCAAACTAAAATTTTAGATCATTCGTTGTTGAGGTTTGTAATTTTCTGTAAAATATAGGTTTTCTGACACTCAAAAATGAGTAACTTGTACTTGTGCTGCTTTGACTGGACAGGAAATAAATGAATGGTCTCTAACTTTTGCACAGTACTGTAGATGCTGAAGATGCAAAGAAGTTCCACTGCAGTTCTATAAGTTAGTAAGTAGTTTTTTGACTTGCTATGTAACAGTACTTTGCTTGAGTTGGGTTGAGTCTATCTACCCACGTCTGGCACCAGTGAGTCAGCTTTTTAAAAAAGTATGCTTCAGGAATGATTGCTGAAGTAATGGTATCAGTATTTGGTTTTTGTGACAGTTTTTGAATGAGACCTAACACTAGTTAGATAACATATGGAACAGGTACAGTGGTGTGAAAAAGTGTTTGCCCCCTTCCTGATTTCTTATTCTTTTGCATGTTTGTCACACTTAAATGTTTCAGATCAGCAAACAAATTTAAATATTAGACAAAGATAACACAAGTAAACACAAAATGCAGTTTATAAATGAAGGTCTTTATTATTAAGGGAAAAAGAAATCCAAACCTACAGGGCCCTGTGTGGAAAAGTGATTGCCCCCCGTTAAAACATAAATTAACTGTGGTTTATCACATCTTTGGAGTTTTTAGTTCAATTTCTCTAGCCACACCCAGGTCTGATTACTGCCACACCTGTTCTCAATCAAGAAATCACTTAAATAGGACCTGCCTGACAAAGTGAAGTAGACCAAAAGATCCTCAAAAGCTAGACATCATGCTGCGATCCAAAGAAATTCACAAACAAAGAGAAACAAAGTAATTGAGATCTATCAGTCTGGAAAAGGTTATAAAGCCATTTCTAAAGCTTTGGAACTCCAGTGAACCACAGTGAGAGCCATTATCCACAAATGGCGAATTACAGTGGTGAACCTTCCCAGGAGTGGCCGGCCAACCAAAATTACCCCAAAAGCGCAGCGACGACTCATCCAAGAGGTCACAAAAGACCCCACAACAACATCCAAAAAACTGCAGGCCTCACTTGCCTCAGTTAAGGTCAGTGTTCATGACTCCACCATAAGAAAGAGACTGGGCAAAAATGGCCTGCATGGCAGAGTTCCAAGAAGAAAACAACTGCTGAGCAAAAGAACATAAAGGCTCGTCTCAGTTTTGCCAGAAAACATCTTGATGATCCCCAAGACTTTTGGGAGAATGCTCTGTGGACTGACGAGACAAAAGTTGAACTTTTTGGAAGGTGTATGTCCCATTACATCTGGCAAAGAAGTAACACAGCATTTCAGAAAAGGAACATCATACCAACAGTAAAATATGGTGGTGGTAGTGTGATGGTCTGGGGCTGTTTTGCTGCTTCAGGACCTGGAAGACTTGCTGAGGTAAATGGAACCATGAATTCTGCTGTCTATCAAAAAATCCTGAAGGAGAATGTCCAGCCATCTGTTTGTGACCTCAAGCTGAAGCGCACTTGGGTTCTACAGCAGGACAATGATCCAAAACACACCAGCAAATCCACCTCTAAATGGCTTAAGAAAAACAAAATTAGGACTTTGGAGTGGCCTAGTCAAAGTCCCGACCTGAATCCGATTGAGATGCTGTGGCATGACCTTAAAAAGGCGGTTCATGCTCAAAAACCCTCCAGTGTGTCTGAATTACAACAATTCTGCAAAGATGAGGGGGCCAAAATGCTTGATTGCAGTTGTTGCTGCTAAGAGTGGCCCAACCAGTTATTAGGTTTAGGGGGCAATCACTTTTTCACACAGGGCCCTGTAGCTTTGGATTTCTTTTTCCCTCAATAATAAAGATCTTCATTTATAAACTGCATTTTGTGTTTACTTGTGTTATCTTTGTCTAATATTTAAATTTGTTTGGTGATCTGAAACATTTAAGTGCGACAAACATGCAAAAGAATAAGAAATCAGGAAGGGGGCAAACACTTTTTCACACCACGGTATGCTTTCCTTTTGTTTTTCATGTGTTTTCTTACTTCACTTAGTGCAGTGAAACTCAAGATCTGGGCACAATCTTCCAAATGCATCAATGTTGTTAAGAAAAGTGAGATATTCACTGTCATAATTTATAATGGAGAGCGAATAGGATCCAGACAGAAGGCATCTAATTTATTCAGCGTGTGCCGCATCTTAAGGTACTGCTAAAGTAGGATCATTGTACATTTAAAAAGTTCTTATTTTGGAAAGGATCTTTCGGCATGTATGAGTAAAATCTCTGGTACAGACCCAATCACTGAAATAAGGATCTGGGCCAAAGAAAGGCATGCTGGCAAAGTGATGGAGAGATGGGTTCAAAAATAGCGAACCTTTCCATTAAAACCTGAAGTTTCAAGTTAAAGTGTAGAGGCAGTTTTCTAAATCTTCATTCATCCCATCAGTGGCATGCTGCCATCTGGCTTATTTTGATGGCTGGCTCTTTACTGAGTATTTGACACTGCAGTTTTCTTCATGAAGCTATGACCTAGAGTTTGTGCCACAGAGGTGATAAATAGAGACCTGGCTCAAAAACAGGGAACCTGTCCTCTAACAGTTCTCTAAATAAAATGAAAACATACTTTACAGCCCCTTTCTTTGAAGAAAGTTTTAGAGCTGGGTGATATGTCAATACCCATAGACCTACACTGGTGTCAAACCATAATGTTAATTTTCAACTTTAACGACATTGAGATAATGAGCATTGCATGCACGACAACATTCAGATGTATAAAATATCACAGTCCCTATTGCCAAGCAGTTTGTTTTTAATAGAGTTGGCAAAATTTACTGTTCTTCATTTTCTTATTATTATTCTATGGTCAAAAATGTGCAATACTACTCCTCCTACAGCTTTCAAGCTAGAATCACAGACCTTTGCAAGATTGTAGAAACTATACACAAATAATTTGACTGTGCTTTTTTTAGTTTTTGTACAGCGTTCATTCAAATGCTTTTTTTCCCCATTGGAAATAACACAAATGATATCAACAAGGACACTTTTCACACTGCCTCTCATAGACATTACATACAAATTCACTTACTAACTTGCACACATATATACACACATATTAGCAACTCCTATGGATACCATAGCAAGAGCCTAGCAGCACCTTAGCAACCAGCTGGGATAGCATAGCAATCACATAAGAACACATTAGCAACCACCTGTCATATGATAGCAATGGTGTGGCAACACCTTAGAAATCACTTGGGATACCATAGCAACGATGTAACAACACCTTGGCAACCACTTGTTAGATGATAACACTGGCCCTGCAACACCTTAGCATTCACCAAGCAATGCTCTAACAATAAGCTGGAATACCATAGCAACCTCATAAAAAACACCATAGCAACTTTAAAAATCCAATTAAGTCATCAAAAGCAGTCAACAGTGTTCTGCAACTGCTTTAACTATTGAAGCGTTATTAGCTGTTTTTTTCAAGCCAACTTTAAGTTCTTTTCACAAACTTTCCCTTCCCTGTTCTGTTCTGTGCACTTTAATCTTGTATTTAGGACCTGACATTTAACTGCAGTTCATGTAATTTGGTGGGTGACTGTTTTGAAAGAACACTTTAAAATATATAAGACCAAAATAAATTGTATTTCTTTTTTTTCTGGAATGTTCTTTCTGTCTGGTTAACTTAAATAACACTGTGAGAGGTTCTTTTTCATTCAGGTTTCCAAAACAGTCCAATTAAAACAAGCTAAGCTAAGTTTGTGGCTTCACTAACTTTATTAATGGGTTCACTAACTTTATTAATGGAAAATAAAAAAAGGAATTTCTTTCATTTTTAAACATTTCTGCATAAAGCAGTGGCTGAGATGTAAATTAAGTCATTTAGAGTGGTTTGATATGAAATGGTGCAATCTAGAAAAACGTCTCTACTTTTTTTAAAGTGGTAGTGATAGTAACCAGGGGTCACCATGTCAACAACTCAAATATGTCCATTTTCGTCACTATCTAAAATGACCAGTGAACTTATACATTCTACTGAGGTTTTGTATGTAATGTTGCTGACTGTAAAATGGTGAGAAATCTGAAAAAAAAAACACTTTCTTTGCAAACTACTTCGCCTTACAACACTCTGCATGTGCCCCTCCACCATGAATGAAAGGAGTGTCCAGTCTTATCTCTAAAGGGCCAGTTTCATTTGAAACGAGTGGGAGCACACCTGATTCTAATCGTTTAATCAATTGATCACAGACTTCAAACTGATCAGGTGTGCTCGGGCTTTGTTAGATTGAAAACCTGCAGCCATGCTGGCTCTTTGAGGATAAGATTAGACATCTGTTTTAGGCCAACACT